ACTAGCTTACCCTTTGGTACTGCTGTTTCAATTTAGTCCAGGAAGTTAATTTTAATTTTGTGTACACCATATTTTCGTTAAATACCACCATCGTATGTAACAGTTAATGATTTAAAACATAAATTCTACTATTTCTCTCTGCATTTATTTTTATTATTTTTGTGCTGCACAATTAAGACATGTTCTGAGTTCTCGTTTACCATCTTCAACGACAGACAGTTGTTATTCCACGTTGTACATTGTTTTGTAAATATGGTTCATTAGCGTGTACAAAATTGTAAATAAATTCACTAGTTTTCGTGGTCGGCTTGACCAATTAATATCATTCAATTAATTAAGGCTTTTAGTTGAGATAAAAACGTGAATGTCAAGAATGGGATTCGAACCCACGACCTTTGGTTTGATACGCCGCTGCTCTACTACTTGAGCTATCGTGACCTCGATCCACTCGGACACTAACTTCCCATCTCAACCCCACCTTTTGAAGAAATAAAAAGCAGGGTTGTCTTAAATGAAATAATATATAGCACAGGTCATAGAATATGGTAAAACCTTTTTCTTTAAGAAAGTAACCGAATTGAATTGTGAATAAAGCCAACGTTTATTGGTAAAAGAACGGGACAAGTATAGTTAACTGTCGATCCGTCAAAGAGTAGGTGTGACTTTATTCCATGGATAGCTGCAACCAACTCCTGTCCGCAAAAGAAGTTACAAAATGTTAACACAAACATAATGAAACAACAACAAATTGGGGATTTAAAAATCATCTTTTCCTTTCGTTTTTAATACAAACCTTCATATCAAGCAGTCAACTTCAAATACATTGATACCATATGCTACATTTGTTTCTTCAATTTTCTTGATATAAGTATACAATTTCGTCGAAATTGAAAATTCAATTAATTACAGTTTTTAGTTGAGATAAAAAAGTCAGTGTCATGAGCGGGATTTGAACCCGCGAATTTCGGCTAGATACGCCGCTGCTCTACCACTGAGCTATCGAGACCTCGATCCACTCGGGCACCAACTTCCCATCTCAACCCCACCTTTTCAATTTTCCCTCCTTTATGCCACTTTTCAATTCATTTTTTATCTCAACTACAAACAAGCCGAAGGTCGTGGGTTCGAATCTCGCTCTTGACACTGACTTTTTTTCTCTCAACTACAAAACCTTAATTAATTGAATTGTAAATAAACTATTTCTACCTATCTTCCTATCTATCTATATCTCTTTTTATTTATCTATTTACCAATTTATCAACATGATATTTGAATCATCTATCTATCTACGTGATATGTGGATTCTGTTGATTAAGGGAAAGCTACAAGTTGTTGAAATCTGGGAAGATCTTTGTTTTAATTTTGGTAAAATTTGATAAATTTTAGTAGTTTGATGCACCCATGGTTTTGTTTGTTGAAGACATCGTTCATTAAATCTAACTCAATTATAGGATGGACAGATCAATAGAGAAGGATAGGAGTAGAATGTAATAGACCGAAAATACTCTTATACAAAAGCCATTATCGTGTTCCGATCCCTTAACGCTTGACTAACATTAAAACGAAACCGGCCGATAAGTACAAACTGTCCTGATAAAATCTCGGTTTCTGGATGAATTAGGTATTATTAGCTGTATACGACGGCGTCGGGCGGAATGTCGGTGGATATGATTTACGGGTTGAATATAAATTTAATTACAAGACGACTTCCCCGCCCGTACCAGGGTCCAGGCCATAACTCAATTTGCGGCAAAACGTCTTATACGTGACTTATGCTCTACCAACCGAGAATGGATAAGACACGTACTTAGATATTGCCAACGCCGAGACCAAACCAATTTCCTCTACCTAATCATCTTTAAAAAAAATGTTTTAATTCCCGGAGTACTGTCAAGCATTGGATATGTAGATGAATTAGTCGGAGTTACATATACAGCGACATTTAAGTGCTGTTTTATTCCCAGTTCTGAGCTAATAGCATATTGCTAAGTCCTAGTTCATCAAGAAACTACATTAGTGTGCTCTGCTTGAATTTCTTTTCGAAACATTTCCTTCTGCGGGCTAGTGTACCACCACAGTTTGTTAGTTGGTGTGTTAGTATGTGCACTGGCCGTGATGGATTATACCAATATACTTTAGATGTCGATTTAGTTTGTAGGGTCACGTTAAGAATCCTGTTAAGGTACGCAGGTGTTTCCGGCTTAATGCATTGTGTTCCCTCTTTCCTTCCGAAGTTTGTTAGGAGTTTCTTGTAATTGTATCAAATGAGTGCTCCCTCATTTTCTTATCATCCTTCTCTCTGTGGTGCTCATTAATAGTATGGATTCCAATGCTCCAGAAGGGCTCGGGTCCTATTAGCGTAATAGCAGCCCATCTTCTTACAAGGGCGTCCGCTTTCTTTGCTTTCTACACTCACATGTACTGGAAGTAATGTCCAGTTTTGTTTCATGTCATCAACATGTTTGCTCCATGGATATGTTTAAAATGCCAAAATCTTTATGACGCAGGCAGATTGAACAACAACATGATTGGCCTTTTGATACAGTCAATGTATAAAGATGACATCACAAAACAATCGGAAAAGGAAGAAAGAAATGAAAAGCATACCAGCTTTCACATTGCACACACAAAAATTATATGAATGGAAAAATAGAGTGGAACAAATTTAATGTATACATGTTGTTACTAAATAACAAAAGCTTATAAGAGTAGCCAAACTGCGACCATGATAGCCAGGCGGCACCGACAGATTCAGGAGGCAGTGGTGGATTTTGATGGCTCCGATCGGATATAAGTTTCACCAGTTTTCATTGTTTACGGAAAGGACAGTGTCTGTACATGTGGAGTAAAGTGCGAATAGCCGGATTAAGACTGAATTCCGTTCCCATTGCGAATGTACTCAAGCAATGTAAATAATATTAAGTTAGGCTGAGTATGGTATGGTGGAAAGGTTGCTAGGAAGCGGGATTTGTATTCCCCAGGCACTGCAATCTTCTGGCTTATTGTACCTTCCTAGTTCCTTAGTTCAGTCAATAGACTCCATCCTTCTTCTTAGAAGTATCAGGTCATTAACTGTTGCTGCTGCAATTTGATTCCCTAAGTCTTTTCCGTACGTTAGGTTAAACCTCCATTGGGCTGTTGCTTCGCATTAGAAGATGATATGAGTGGCTGTTTCCTCCTCCTCATTATATAATCTGCAAATGGGGTCATCGCTGTATATACCCATGTAGATGTTTTCTCACATACCAGTGATCGGTTAGTAGTCCCACCACTCCTCTGAGTTTGGCCCTTTCCAATTGCAGCAGTGTTTTTGCCAGTCTCGGTGAGGCTTGTTTCATCATACGTTTACTATGTCTAGCTCCTCTAGAGTTTATCCATTTTTTTTTTGCTTGAATCCATTCTGGGATGGAGGTTTCTATATTTGTTTTTGTTATCCCAAGGATAGGTTCGGGGCCTATGTATGGTTTTGCATATCCTCCTCTGGCCAGTCTGTTTTCTCGTTACCCAAAACTCCCCTGTGCCCTAGCACCCAAGATATCATCAGGTTGATGTGTTTCCCCAGGTTTTGGAAATTTTGGATGCATTCAGTGACTAGTTTTTATGTGATTCTTTTACATGCTAATGCATAGCATATAATAGCTGCTTGGCTATCTGATCTTATGAGGATTTTTTTGTCAGTTTAACCTCTTTTAAGATTTTCCAGGGCACAAGCATTGATGACATGTATTTCCGCATGATAGACCGAAGTGTACTTCCCTAATGAGTTTGACTGCTCATGTTTCGGGCTTGTTCAGAAAACGCCTGATCTGGTTCCTTTGTTTGTTTTGGAGACATCTGTGTACCATATCATTGTATCTGATGCTCTCCTGTGTTCTTCCTCTCCTTTATAGTTCGTTGAGACTTTATAGGAAGTTGTGATGATTGTTTCCGAGTTATTAAGTTAGGCTAAGTACTATAACAATTGTTAGTTCTGGTCAGATGCAAGTTGTATTTTTGTTAAATTTTCTCTTTTTGGCTTCATTTATGAATACTTTCCTGCAATTAATGATTCCATCCAACTATATTTTAATACAATATTTATCTTAGAATTATACGTAACTCTTACATATAGTTTAACTTCACAAGTTTCGTAGTCCGCTTGACCAATTAATACCTTTCAATTAATTAAGGTTTTTAGTTGAGATAAAAAAGTCAGTGTCACGAGCGGGACTTGATCCACTCGAACACTAACTTCCCACCTCAACCTCACCTTTTGAATTAGTTAGTGTCCGAGTGGATCAAGGTCACGATAGCTCAAGTGGTAGAGCAGCGGCGTATCTTGCCGAAGATCGTGGGTTCGAATCCCGCTCGTGACACTGACTTTTTTATCTCAACTAAAAACTTTAATTAATTGAAATATAGATTAACTTTCAACAGATCGCCGTTACCGTATTAACAGCGTAGCGCCCAACTATTTTAGTCATACCAGATTTTTACTATTTAGAGTCAAATCTCTCTGGCCATCTCTCCGGGCCTCACGAAAAACCCACTTTTTCTCTACTAGACAAGCCGGCGTTTTTCGTTCACCAGGAGTCTTTTCGAGGTTTTTGGTTTCCTATTATCACGTATTTTTCCTTAATCCTTTAGAAAAAACACCGATAACCTTGAGAAAGGAAACATAAAATCAATTTAAAAAAATAGGAAGCTCGGGTGCCTTAAACTTAAAAGGAAAATGTTCATGTTCAGCTAATTAGCCCTGAATTGATAATACTCTCAGTACAAAGGAACGCGATGAAATGGGTTATGAAGTGGGTCAGAAGTAGCGAAACCTCTAAGGCCCATCATTATTTTTTTTTCAATTTTAGATCAATGCAGTCGAACTCTATTCATCAAACAAGAATTGCATAAAAAGCTATTAACTTTACATAAATAAGAATATTCCCGGATAGCCTTACAGCACTGAAAATTTTTTAGACTCACCCACCTTCAAATCCAAGCTGGTATGAAAATGCTTATCATACCTTACAGGAAGAGCCCTCATACATCTGGATCAGAAGAGCAAATTGGTAATCCTCAAGATATATTGAATGCGGAACTGAAGAACAACATCTCAACCAATAAATCATAAATCTCTCTCAGCATCCATTTCGTCTTCATCAGTTGTCGTTTTTAATGTATTTAGGAGTGAGTCAGTTTTCGTTCCTTATACCAGAAAGGACTCTCAGATCATCATTACTGCAGATAATGGAACTACAAGGTTATTTCATCTCGAAAATCTCGTATTTGTATAACCATGTTAATACGAGACTACCAGTTGATAAATGTTAGATCAAAACCGTCCATTGATCTAATTATTTTGTTTTGGTTAGTACCGTCATTTTGTTTAAGCTAAAATACATTTAGTGAATGATTGTGCTTTATCTTTAAAAAAATTACACGCATTAAAAACCCTCAAAAGGTCAAATAGGCAAGCAGCTATTTGCTCGTGAGCATTTATACGAAATACATAAAAAACAACAAATGCATCGGAAATTTCCAAAACCTTCGGAAACATAACTGATCTTGGTTAGTAGGGTCCAAAGAAATTTTCAGTAACGAAAAGGCAAACAAATAGGCCAGGTGAGGATTTAAAAGACCAAAGATTAAAAAGAAGAGATCCTCAACCTATACTTGGCATAACAAAAACAAACACAGAATCCTGCATGTCAGAATGGATCCAAAAGAAACAGAAGGAGGAGTGGAAAAATTCCACAAGTGCTATGCGTAGCAAACGTATAAAAGAACCCTCACGAAAATTGACAATATCATTGATCAGATAGAAAGAGAAGTGACATGGCTACTTACTGGTTGCCGGCACAAAACACCAACATAACACGGGTATATTCAATGGCAATCACATTTACAAATCATGCGATGAGGAGGAACAAAAAACCACCCATATCATCTTCGAATTGCAAAGCAACGGCTCACTAAAGACATAACCTGGGATAAAAAAGAAATCCAGGAAATGAAATTGTAGCACCAACAGTAAGGGGGCTTCGTGGCCTCAATGGTTAATGCGTTAACACGGCGCTCATCACTGTAAGGTAGAAATCCAGACATGCCTACATATGGGCTTGTATTTCAAAAACAACCGGCACTGAATCAACGTCGTCAGTGTGGACACCGTTTGGAAGAACAGAAGCCTTTAAAGTTGGGAGTGGTGTAAGGCAAGGCTGTCTATTAAGCCCTCTCCTATTTGCGTTATTTTTGAACGATTTTGAGGATACATTGGTGACGGGAGTGTCAGTGGGAGGCAAAGACATAAAAGCACTTATGTACGCTGACGACATCGTAATTCTTGCTGACAATCCACGTGGCTTACAAAAGAATATTACCAAACTAGAGGAATACATACTGTGATACGTGGAATCTTAGGGTAAATCTGGAAAAGTCGAAGATAGTTGTTTTCCGCAGGGGAGGTAAGCTTGGCTCTAAAGAGCGTTGGAAATACAAAGGTCTGGATATAGAAGTGGTAAATCGTTATACATACCTAGGAGTACAACTGACTTCTCAACTTTCTTGGAAACCCCACTTCTCGGAGAAATCGAGTTCGGCCAAGTTTGCCCTTAATTCTGTTTGGAGAGGAGCAATGATGCAGCCCCAGATCCCGCTAAAGGCTAAGCTGCATATCTTTAACGCGGTCTCACGCTCAATTCTGTGCTATGCTGCACAAGTATGAGGATCAGAGGAATTCGTGGAGGTGGAGAGGGTGCTATGGTTCTTCATACGAAAACTGTTCAGTCTCCCAAACTACACTCCAGTCTACATACTGCACATTGAAACCGGCCTTCACCCAGTCTTTCTATTCACGTTGACTTTGAACGGTCGTTATTTGGTTAAGGTGCTCCGAATGGACCACGCCAGATTCCCCCGTATGGTGGCTCAACCCAAGAGATCATCAGGCTGGGGATATCTTGGGCTTCTGACTGGGGTAGACTGGCGGACAGGGTGGGAGTGGGTTTGTCTTTTTCGCAACCCGAGAGTAAGGGTCTCTCTCTTCAACTCCAGTCAATTATTAGTCGACTGAAAGATAGTTTTATGGTGAGCAACATAGAGAGAGTGCAGGCTTCCCGTCGATACAGTATATATAGGATGCTGGATCACGGAGTCAGATGTGCCAGCTTGGTTGGGGACCAAAAGACAAATAAGAAAATTACAGACATACGTTAAATCCTGAAACTGAGGGGAGAATTGCTGAACCTACGACATAAGCCGTATGATCTCCTCACCCAACAGGAGTGTGAGTTATGTAATTACCGGGTGAAGGAAGACATATACCACTTTGTCGCGGAATGCCCCATTCTGTCCCCCTACCGTTTATCTGCGTTCGGCGAAAGAACCGTATCAATGGACAGATGCATCAGATTGCTCAACGGACCAGATTGGACAGACTTGGTGAATTATGCTAAAGCGGCCTGGGCCTATCGAAGGCTAATATTAAACGAATTTAATTAGTAATTCTTCTCTCTTCTTCTCTTTTACTCCCAATTTCTTTGCCTCCGCTCTTTCCCTTGATATTTGGTGTTTCTGTTTCTCCGGTCTCAGCTCCGCTAATTGATTTTTAATTCTCAGTTTTGTGTCCTTTTGATTTGGTATTTTGTTATAGATGTTACACTTAGCATAGACTTAGTTTAATGCATTTGTACGTTTATTTTACAGGATTAGTCAATAATTAATCCAAGCCCCGGCAGACGGTTACCTTGCCGTATTAAGTTTATTTTCTTGTTTGAATTATATGTAATTTTCCTTTTTTCTTCTTGTGTGCAATAAACTTATTATTTTTATTATTATATTATTATCATAAACAACCGGCACCCTAGGATTGATAAGCTATTCCGAAAAAAAAAACTTGAGTCGATATCTTTGAACTAAGAAAGTAAAAAAGCAGCTAAATACGGAGGCTGGGACTGGGGAATCAAAACATCACTTTCTTGTCTCTGGTCATCATCATCATCATCAAGATCAATACATGGCAGACTACGTATTGTCCTGATTCATCATTCTATTGTAAAATGGTCGATTTTACTAATGCTTAACGTTTTACTGTAAAAAAGATTTTACTGCAAGTGTAGACATATTAGATATAGTAGGTGAGATGCGAAAGGAATTTTGGAGATCTAATATTATAGTTAAGTTGTTCCAAGGGTAAATCGGCGTTATTTTTCTTTCAAGTAGTCTAAATATACTGAACCTGATTTCTTTTAAGGATAAATTTTATCAATTTTGTTTCTATCTAATAATAAAGCTTTCACACATTCCGCAGAGGCAGTTGTTGCAACAGATACGTTTTGCTTTTCGTGACTCAAAAGCGATAGCAAAGGACTAAGAAAAACCACTAAAAATTTATATTTAGTGAAAAACTCCATCCTTTTTTCACTTAACCTTTCATGAATATCAGGTATTTTGAATTTTTTAGATTGACCACAAGTTACTAATGTTTGCAATATTCTTCCAATATTTTTATATTTCCTTGCAGTCCTTTGAATCTTTAAGTACTTTTATTATCGTGTTGCCATATGCTAAATTCGAGAAATTCTGCTAAATTCTATTATATGTTTTGTGTGATATGATGATGATTTATGTATGTTATCGATTTCGTTAATCAAATTCAATATCGATACATACATCATTACATCACACAAAACACATTCAACACATTCCACACATCAAACATTTTTACATAGTCAGTTTTTTCAACAATTTAGCTATCCTTTTCCTATTTATCCCCGTCTATATAATCCTGAAAGGATAATCTGGGCGAACCATTAACAACGGTTTTTCCTTTCGTCGGCTCTTTTCACCTCAAAGAAGCCGACTCCTCATACAAAAATGTCTTTCTATACCGACTTCCTTCCCCACCACTTCAAAATCCAACGTATATAAACATAAAACAGCAATATCTCCCCAGCACTCTCAAAACGACACACAAGAATGGCACAATTATGCAGAAATACTTTGATTGAATATAAAAAATATTTTTTTGCGTTGATTCACTTTTTTCCACATCCTACATGTATTTGTTAAATTTAAACAATTTTTGTAAATCCCAGGCCCTGAAGATGATCTCAATAAAGATCGAAACGTTAGCACGATAAAGAAAATGTTTTTCTAAAACCTGTCACACCAGAGCACATATATACCTAGAAAAATAATAATGAAATAAAATACGTGCTTAACAGGAAGTGTTTTTTGAATGCGTTCATCCTACAACCAACTTGACCCCCTTGTATGCACAGATAAGGTTGACAAAAGGCCCTCGAAGCTCAGGCTTAGAAAACCTCTTCAGAAGTTTTATCCGTTGGATTTTTATATAAATTATTTTATGCTGAACTATTCGCTTTGATTATTATGCCGATTTGGATAATCCTGAAGATGCGTTCCCGGTTTCAATTACTCACCGAGATAATTTCTTTTGCAGGACATAAAAATGCCACCGATTGGTCGAGTTGTTTTAAATCACTTAATTATACGAGGGATACGGCCAATTTCATTTCTCCGAGCGGTCGAAGGACGTTAAAAGAATTTGGAAGAGTAGATTTATTGAATTATTCATTGCGGATCGATGCCGTACTGCTTATACAAAAGCTCAGACAAATGGCGTACAATTTAAAAATTAAAGTCTGGGTAAATCCAGTTCTTGAATGTATAATACAGGATTAAAATTTTAAAATATATAAAACTAAAATGGCACCAATACTGCTAGAAACGTTAATTTTACCTGTCTAATGAATACAACAATTTGTCAAGCAAATTAATTTTTTTATAGCTTGATTGTAATTTTCCTGCAAGGAAACAATGCTCTTAGCTTTAACAAAAGTAAAATAAGTAGAAATGGAAATAATTAGCGTCTTGCTTCTATTTTTTAAAACCTTGACGTCGTTCAATCTGAGTTTGACATTTGTGCGACAAAAGTAGAGAAAAAAACCACAAGTGTGCGAAGGATTTGGGATATTTTTTAATCAAAACAGTATTACAATGCGCCGAAAACATAAGAAAACTATTACCAAAATTTAAAAAAATATATTTTTCATTTTCGGAAGTATGAATGTGTAGTTCACAAAAGTTATACTCGTAATTTTGTAAAGTTAATTACAGTTGTATAGATAATTCGTTATGAACCGTAAAACCGTTTTTGATCAATTTATAAAAAATGTGCAGAATGGTAACCAATAAATAAATATTTGTAATTAAAAAAACAACCGCTGTCGTTTAGATTCATATTGTTCCAAAAGGTTACTCAAGATTCAA